TCTTTCCCTGAGGAGATTAAAAGCAAGTTCCACCAACAAAAGAATGTACTGTTCTTCATCTATTTTGTAGATAATTATCATTGCTATGGGAATTTTTTTAAAAAAATTACACATTCTCAGTTTGATGTGACATCTAATCAAGCCTGCCTGTGGTCTGCTGTCAAAAGGGCCAAGTCCCTCTACCCAAGCCCCTTCCACCACCTGACATATTTGTGTGTTCCTTCTTCTCTCCTTCCCCTACATCTCATTTAGCAATTGTTTAGCTACTGGGTGACAGTTATTGAACTTATTTCAGTTGAGGGAGCTGTCAGAGGGAAAGCTAAGTGAACTGAAGCAACCCATGGCCACATAATGCCTAGATCCAAAATGAGGGAAGAAGTGGAAGCACATCGCCAAGTTAGCTAACACTACCTAGTGTGATGACAACCTGCCATCTCACCAGGTTAGGTGTAGCATAAAACCACATCCTCAGTAGCACAGAGATGATCTAGGAGTGTCAGTTATTACACTAGGCTTCAGACTATAATTTCTAGAACTATTTTATTTTTTTCCTCTGTATTAAAAGTCATGCTGGGTTTTAGGTTATAATGGACCCTGTTACTCAGTGCAGACAAATGTCCCATAAGTATCTGGAGATATACAAAACAAAGAATTTCAACAAGGACTGCTAGAATATAAGGCAGTTCTAGGATGGATGTTTAGTAACATTTCTCTTGAAAATGGATGTGAGGATGTAATCCATCCCTGCTGACTTTGCCGATACTACCAAAAGTATAAACCAGTCTTGTAATGGACTGGCTGTGGTGTTTCAAATACTCAGTATTTTTAAGGGAGTGGCCAGTTTTACTGACACATTGATTGTGTCATTATCTCACCTAGCTGTAAAGAATATTTAATGATTATCTAGGGAGATTTTCAAACAGTAATTTAAATTATTTTGAGGTAAAAAAGAAATGCCTAAGTTTTGACAGAATCTCTGTCTTTGTAAAAGAAAAAAATGTAGACTACAGAGAATGTAACAGAAGTCAGGAAAAAGGGATGACTTAGATATCTGCTGTACTGTGTCCCTTCCATTGTAGAACTAAAACTAACAACTAGGTCTGTTTGTTGCAGGTACAAGGTAATTTAAGGTGGATGTTTTTATTATGAGTTTTGATTATACAGGTTGATAAAGAAATGCTTGAGGTAGCAGTGGGAGAGAAGAAATAACATTTTGAATGTTAACTTGGATAAGACCTCTTAAAATGACAAATCTGTTTACCTCCTATAAGAAAATCCCAAAACATTTTATAAATAATAATGAACCAAATCCTTGCAAGGTAAGGGATGACGCTGTAATGTCAACAGATAACCTCACTGTGCCTCAATTTGAGTCAGTTGTGCAGATCACTCAGTGAGACAGCCACAAAGACAGGAACGTAACCTCAAGTTGAATATGAGGCTCTACTGAGCCTGATGCCAAGATCTGCTTTTACAGTCATGATCTCACATTCAGCATCATAACTCCCACCATTACTTGCCTGGACATCAGTCTCAAACGTAGTAAAACTGAATGAGCCAACAAGCATGCCAAAGTAAGCAAGCTAGATGTGCAGTTTATAATTATGTCCTCCTCTGTCTATCTTTGATAACAGCAGCAGCCCTTAAACCAATATTTCACAACATAAGTGTGTATCCCTTAGATTACCAGGATATAGCTACCAAGAAGTACACTATATTTGGAAATCCACTGTGAATCCAAGCAAAGGTCAACAAGTCAATTTTGTAAGGTTTCTTCTTTCGTTTTGATATACTCAGGTTTAAGGAATTCACAAAACAAAAACATACACAAATGTCAAACCAAGATACGAATCCGATGCCTTTACTGAATATTTAATTTTAATTCATTTTGCAATTAACATTTTCAAAATAACTCATGTACTCCTCTTGGACTCTAAAATAATTCAAGATAACCTTTGCTGCAGAAGACAAATGATATAGACACTGACTTAGATTGAGACCAAGATTATTGATTTTTCTTTCTGGAAGCTTGTAAAAGATAAAAATGACTACTTACTTCCTAAGGTTGTTTAGCAACATGATGTTCACATACATGTAATACAAATAATAGCTATACGGGGGATTCTTCTCACTGGTCCAGAGGTCAGGGTTAAGGCTCTTGTCAGAGAACATATGGCCACTATGTTTGGATTCATCATCAACACTGTCAAAACCAGTCACCTGGCAGGAGAAGAGGTTCACAGAAATCAGTGTTTTCAAGAAGCAAACTTCAACATTACTTACTCTTGTTCAGGACTTGCTTGTACAAAGCATCTAGTCCTCTTTCTTCATTTCCCTCCTTACGCTAGCAGTCCTGCTGCTCTGCCCTCCTACTTTTCAGGAATAATGTGTTTTCTCAAAGGAAGGTTCACCCACTTTTTCTTCTGAGACAAACAGGAGGCCCAGGTGCACAAAAGCCTTCAGACTCCTGTGGGGGGCATAGGCCTGTAAAACTCCTTCAGACCCAGGTTATAATCCTTTCAACTCTTCTGCTTTGTTATTTGAAAAGCAGCTTAAGGCCAGAGGCTCCCAGGAAACCTCAGAGTTCTGATTTGGGACACACTCAGAAATGTCTCTCTTGATCACGTCCCAGCAGCTACATCCCTACCTCTCTCCTGAGCCCCATCAGGATCTACACAATGCTTCTTTTCAGTTGCCTCACTTTTGGAGGCCAGTCCCAGAGGCAAACTCAAAGTACACATCCTGGATTACGATGTTCCCTCTGCACAAGAGCATGTGAACATTTTTCAGTCATTCTTTATAGAGAGGACAAATAAATAGCTGTTGAGCTGTTTCAAGGGAAATAAACAGCAACTATTTGACAACAGGATCTTACCCAGGCTTTTATTAAATTGTTTATCAGGGCTTTAAAACAATAATACAAGTCATCTATGGGGGAGGAAGCTTTTTTTAGTGTCTGGAAACAGCTGTAGACAAAATTTATAAGTAGGAGAGGATCCATTTCATGTGAGATAAAAAATCCAAACATACTTACATATTTGAGGAAAAGGTGTAATTCTTTGTGGTCTTTGGGATTGATTGTTGCTTCAAACAAAGGTACAAAGATGTTCTCCAACATCTTCCCAAAACTAGGCAGAATATTTTTTGACCTAAATATGTCACTGAAGGGGAAAAAATATACACAGTTGGGACCATTCTTTAATCAGCTTGTATTTTTCTTCCACATTCATATTTTCTGTTATTTGTATATATTCTACAGCTTCAGTTCTCCCAGGATTCAGAAATTCAAAGTTTATGTCAGTGCAGGGGTTGTCTCTGTTTCCTGCACTGCCTGGCACTCTGCTTCATCCAGGCTCTGATGAAGCTCCCGAGTGCTCCAAAAATAGAGACAGTATGCATGGGTAGATGCTGTCTCAAGAACAGCAACCCTCTCCCTTACAGCAATTCAAGTACTAATATGGGAAATAAGGAATTACCTCTTGTGAAAGATTCTCTTTTCCAAAGTTTTAAGTACTCCAAATGAAAGTAGAATGTTCTGCTTTAGTGAGCCTCTCAGCAAAGAGGGACAGTGCTTCCATGTGTCATTAAGTGCATGACTTAATGGAAGTGTTGACTCCACTATGTATGTCAGAAATTAAAGGCGAGAAACTTTCTCCCTGATGAGAAACACACTCCGGGGATATATGCAACCATGACAGCTCTCTCTACTCATATGCCAACTATGCAATTTCAAAACATGAAGCTCAGCTATTAAGGCTGACAAAATTATCATCGGAGACTGCATTAAAATATACAGTATTAGAAACAAAAAACCACTTAATCAAGTCCCAAAGGATGCCTGAAAACTAAGAAAAACTGATAACTGATTTAAGCTTGCAAATCAGCACACTGGGTTGCGTTTCCAAGTTCACTGCCATTTAACAACAGCCTAGGAAATTAATTCTTGACCACTGCTGCAGTTTTCCTGATAGTCTGGAAGACAGGAGATGGGGTTTGAATGTACTTTTTATGAAGCTATTCATTACTACTGTAAATTATTTGTAAGTCTGAAGATACTAAAACCAAAAATTACAACTGGGTGAAATTAAGATGCATTCAAAGGCAAGTTAAAATACAATTCAGTAATGAAAAATAAATCAACTCTTGAATTCCATAAAGGAGTTGAAAATGCTCCGTAAGACTGTTATCATCAAACTTCCTCAAGATCAGTTACTAAATGACAGTCAACAGGACAGCTCATAAACCATCTAAAAAAATATCAGAAATTAAAACAAATCATTGGTGCGATTTCAAACTATTAAAGTTACCGAGATCTCCTGATTACTTACTAGATTCTGGGAACCTGAATTATCCAGCGCATATTAGGGGAATAAACTTTATGCTTAATGAACCATTTTGCCAAGTTCAGCCATTCATCTGGAGACCGTCCATAAATGGATAAGCGGGGTTCTGTATACTGGTACTTACTTTCTTCTAGTTCACGGGCTACTTCCTATTAAGTAATAAATATATTTGCTTTAATATGGACACTGAAGATCATTTACAGCTAGTACTATATTTATTGTAGTATTTTCCTCAGAACAGATGTAACTGTGTTATCACCCTTTAAAGATAAAGGGAATCTCTGCTCTATTAATCCATTTTATTTTACACCTCTAAATATTCTACTAGCAAGCTATCTCCATATAATTTGAGCATAACTAACTTATGTACACCTAGATTTATAGAAGAATATTCTTGCGCCATTACTAACACCTTTGTAAGATACATGTTTAAAATTGGTAAATCAGAATTATACTATTTAAACTACATAAAATATGCAGACCAATGGCGAATCTGACCCAGAATCCATGGTAGTAAGCAATTTTAAGACTACTAATGTTAGACAAGCACTTCCATACATCTAAGAAGAGCTGACATCTAGTTCATGTAAGCTACTAATTCTTTTGTTATAAGAAATTAATTTGAAGCCTGTGCATACATGTGTAGATATAGGTTTATGCAGAGGCATTTCCCTAGCAGCTACCACAAGCCAACTACATCCTAACAAAATATTAAGGCAGTAAATTGACCCTTGGCTGCCCTCCATGAGTTTGAAACTGCACACAACTCTGCTTTGAACTCATACACAGGTTGTCTGCATGAGTTTCTAACTCATAAAATTATTTAGAAAGCAGCAGCAGACTTAGCAGAGGTCCCTCTCTGATGAAGTGCTAGAACAAGCCCAACACTTGGACTCAACCACAGTGTTAGCTCTAGATACAATTTTGACATCACAAGTCTTCTACAACCTTTCATTTCTCTACAGCTGGAAAACCTTGAAACCTATTTACCTTGACCATCCGAGCAAAATATTCACCACCAATGTAGTTCTCAGTTTTCAAATACAAGTCCCTCAGCTCACTGGCACCAACTGGATTGTACTTGGAATTGAATTTGTCAAATCGATGAAATGTTTGACGACCCTAGTGGAGGAAAAAACCCAAATAACCATGGTTTTAAGTACACACAATGTTTATAAATTAACTTGCCTAGCAGTAAAAGGCACAGAAAAGAAAAAGCCTATGCTAACTTACTTCAAACATGCAAAGTAATGCATAAGTTCCAATTCTGATTTAATAATATATCATGGAAAAACTGCAGAAACCCAAATTTCATACTTAGAAAACTTCACTTTTTCTCATTTATTTTGTAATTTTAATAGACTTACTGCATGGACATCTAAAGAGTCTACAGTGAGGTCATAAGGGTCCATGTGAAGGCTTTCAAAGACTTGCTTTAAAGTCATCTTCTTGCCTTTTTTCTCTGCAACAATCCTGTCGGGCTCCGTTTGATATGTGTGCTTAATAAACCTCAATAAGTGTTTCTGGTTCATGCAAGCAGCAGCATGGATATGAGTATCAACCTGAAATCAAAAGGTCATTCATGCTCATCATCCATATACATAAACTTAAATTAGCAAAGTATCTATGTCAGTGACAACGACTAAACCTTTCTAAAATATTCTTTCAGTAACAAATGGATTAGTGCCTAAGCAAGTCAAAATGTTTCCGAATCCTGAGATTTTGGTTTTAGTGGAATTATTCAATAAGCAGAACTATAAATAAAATTGCCCTCAATTAATAGGTTCCTATTTAAATAAGAAATTTTTCAACAAGATGCATTGTAAGTGCTAATTACAGAGCCTGGGTTCAGATTAAATTTGATAACTTCCTTAAAGGACACTCTGATCCTTTAGTATCCTTTGATTTAATCCATGAATCAATGATGTCTGAATCAATCATCTCTGACTGAAAAGGCTTGGAATTCCCGGCCATTTCCAAAAGCAAAATTCATTTTTGTATTTCAACCACATGAAACATCTTAGGTCACTAGAACTGCAGAGTGTACACGTAAGAGACTCTGTCACTATTTTTTCCAAGTTTAATTATAATACAGTAACTCACAATGCTGACATTTTTCAGTTTCTTTAGATCTCTTCACACACTAAGGGAAATGCAAGTTTCATAGAAGGACTTAGAGCACTCCCTCAGTTTTTTTGTTGAAGTCCCATTTAAAAAAAAAAAAAAATTGACAAGAACCAAATGGTTTCCACAGGTATGCTTCAAAGCAGAAATAAAAAATAATCTTGCTTCGGCACAATACTGCTAATGCAGCTGTCAGAATGCACCCAGTTTTGCTGTCTACATTTAAAGGTTTAAAAAACACAAATACCGACAACATTCCCAAGAAATGCCACAAAATAGGAGCTGGAAAACCAACACTGCCACATGATGGTAAAAATGAAATTTATTTGGCTTTCAAGGTGCAATTTGAGAGTTAATTTGATCCAAATGTATACAGTTGTATTTGTATATCCAAAAGAGACCATGAGGCAGACGGGGGCTTTTCAATTTCACAAGCAATGACACAAGATCCGAAGGCTGGATGCTGACATTAGATACAAATTCCTAAATATACTTACTACATTGGAACAGTGTGAACGCACTGCACTGTGGTTTTTAAAATGCAAGTAACTAGCATTCCCAGGGACACACTCCCAATGCAAGCTGCATAGCCTGTATGCAGGAAGTGACCCTACAAGGAATTCTCAGATAAACCTGCTTATAAGGAGTCACCGAACCTACATCTCTGCAGGGACTCTTCTGTCCAGGAAACTGCAAACATGGACACGTACAGTGTGAGACCAGTGCGTTCACCTTTGTGTAGTGACTACGTCTGCAGCTTTCACATTCCACCAACAGAAGTAGTTGGCATCCTGATTTGCTTTTAAGGATCAGTAGGAAACAGATCACAGAGCCCCTGAATAAGTAACACCCATACTCCTGCAATGTAAATCTCAGCTTATGCCATGACATACAGTCCACAGAAACGCCACTGCTGTACTTGGCACATGTAGTCATTTAATTTGCAATTTATACGTACCAAAGTTGTGGCAGCCTGCTAATGGTAAAACTGTGTCCATGTGAATGTTAATAGCATAACTAAGGACCAGGATATAAACTGAATCCTAAACAACATTTAATTGTTAATCACTGCCTAGCCTAGTTCAAATATGCTGCAAACTTTAGAGCTAAATGAAAATGCAAGAAACATATTACTGTCTCAAAGTATACATCATGAAGTCCATTACGCACAGTAAGCAATGCTGTGTCTAAAACAGTAAAAACAGCTCCGCTTAACATATTATTACACTCCTCAGAGTACTCATATAAACATCTGAACCCAAGTGCATTATGTATATGGTTACTCAGGTTAATAAATGTCTTCTGTTTTAGAAACAAAGATTGTTTACTATAAACTCTTCCTGGACCAGAAATACTACAAACTACTAGGCTTGGTCAACTTATATGGGAGAGTGAAATGAGAGTTAATAGATGCCCTGGAAGATCTAAACATTCACACTGAGATGCTGGAGCAGGTCCAGAGAAGGGCAACAAAGCTGGTGCAGGGTCTGGAGCACAGGTCTGACGAGGAGCAGCTGAGGGAGCTGGGGTTGCTCAGCCTGGAGAAAAGGAGGCTGAGGGGAGACCTTATCACTCTCTAGAACTACCTGAAAGGAGGTTGTAGTGAGGTGGGTGCTGGCCTCTTCTCTAAAGTAACAAGTGACAGGACAAGAGGAAACGGCCTCAAGTTGCACCAGAGGAGGTTTAGGCTAGATAATAGAAAAAATTTCTTCACTGAAAGAGTGATCAGGCATTGGAACAGGCTGCCCAGGGAAGCGGTAGAGTCACCATCCGTGGAGGCGTTCAAGAAACGTGTAGATGTGGTGCTTGGGGACATGGTCTAGTGAATGAGGTGGTGTTGGGTTGGACTTATGATCTTTGAGGTCTTTTCCAACCTTAATGATTCTATGATTAGCAAGTCATAAGTATAGATTACCAAGTGTGGGAAGCCTGAATAAGTTTAGTTTATTGAATTTCAGAATGCACTAGTTCCAGTGGTGGCTCAGCTACTGGAATTAATGAATCTTGAAAAAAAACCAAACAATTTCCTCTTTATTTAAAACAACCTGAATTCACTACTGTTAGGAGGGCAAGGACGGAAAGCAAGGAGACATTTCTTTTGTCTTCTTGAATGCAAAGATCACATGACACAGTATGAACTTAATTTCTTTTAAAGTCCTGCTTCCCTTTGAGAAATAATTCAAGTGTGCCTCTGCAGTTCAGTAAACTCCTGTGAAACCTCCTCCAGGCTCCACAAGCATATCCATGTAGCTCTGTAGCTGAGCTAACCATGTCAGGCTTATTCTCCGAGAACAAAGAGTTTCCCTTTTTTTTTAATTTCTCTCTCCTCCCTCTCCCTACATATATTTCCCAAGAGTAAAAAAACTCCTGGAGTCTCTTCCATGCTTCTTCCAGAGAATATGCACTACCTGGTATATTTTCACCTTTAGGTTAAGTAGCAACTTGAGTAACAAAAGTCCATAATATAGATTATCACACAGCTTTTTCTTTGTTGTTTTTTAGAAGCAGTGCAACTTTTTGGAAGTGTTAATGACTTGAGCTTTTACCTACCCTAGCACATAATTAGTGTGCATGTGTTTGTGCATTTTCACAATTAGGTGTGCAATCCTATCTAAATAAAGCATCTAAACACAGAATCCTTAGACATAGTTTACATGGATTTTTTTAGGGATTTTTAAAATTATTATTTGAAATGTTGTCCTGCTAAGAAAGTGTTATTAATTTCATTGTTATTTATTATGAATGGCATCTACTAATGAAATTTGAACAGACTGAGTTCATGTAAGGGTCACAAATGCCCCCTCTGCCTCCTTCTTCTCCCCCCTCCCCCCCCCACCCTCCAAAAAAAAGACAAAAGCAGGCACATTTTAAGCTGTTATTATTTTGTTCTTCATACAATACATGAAGTAAGCTGATGCTTTTCTGGGCCATGAGTAACAAGCCCCTACCACAAGATCTATTTGTTTCTATTTGCAACCATTCTGCTTATATTTCCAAATTCTTTACAATGCCACTCCAGCCCAATTTCCCCTTAGTAGGAAAAAACCTCAGCTGCATGCCCTTAGCCAAATTTCCTGTTGCAGTTCTTATTCTCCCCTCCCCCCAGAGGAAACCATTTCCTCAAGGTCACGTTAATCTTCTGTGAAAAGAAGAAACACAATGACTGACAGAAGCCTATCTTGGAACATATGCCTTCAGTGAACTCACCTTCTTAAGAAATGAATAGTTAGCACAAAGGTTTCCTTAATTCTTTTAATTCCATAATCTCATTCAAGCAATGGTGGACACCAGTTTTCTTGCACTTAAAGGATGGTAGAATTCCCTTCACTCAGCAATTCTCCATGTAACAAAGCCACCCTGTCTTCCTCTGCACCTTCTCAGTTCAGGCTAGCCCCTTCCTTTCCTTGTTGACGTGACCTCTCATGCCCTTCTGTCTGCAGGCTTTCTGGATGAAATGCTTGTACTTCTCAGTCAAGATGGTTACATCTGGGTACAACTTACAGCTTGAAGGAGTTCCCATTGCCCTCCAAATCACCTCTCAGCAGCACCAGCTTCCCTAAACCACTCTGCCTCCCCCTCTTCCTGCATTGCATCTCTTTCCTTCCACTGTCTCTCAAATCTCCACAAAACATTCATCTCAGATCTATTTTATGGATGTTTCTCTGGGCATATCTCTTGCATATGCTAGGGGCAGCCCTTTTAAAAATGCTGAACTTTTCCAGTGCATAGATTAGTAGTATCCACAGCTGCAAACTACCTGATTTTCTAAACACACACACTTTAACTTGTGAACACTGCTACCCCAATAGCTATGGGCTTCATGAACTTGACACTGAATCCTCTGCAGCCTTTACTTCAGTGCTGGACTGAAGGGAAATCATTCCACGTGCACTGCTAGATTCCCTGCTCACCAATATGTTCATATTGCTTTAGCTTTTTAGATAGGATGCAACAGCTTTACACACTGAGCTCGATTTTTTCCTTGCAGCTCTGTAATAGGCACGAGAGACAAAACACTCTGCCCTAGGGTAGCGCAGTAATGCTCCTAACAGCTGACGTAGTCCTTCGGGCTGGGCAGAGCCCCTTGGGAGCTTGTCGAATTCATACTAACACCATCCAGAGCAAGCCAGAAACCAGGAGAGACGGCAGATGCGAATCCCTGTCTCCAGCTTCTTGTTTGGCTGTACTCATTGCAAAAAGCATGGAATCAAGCCCTATAACATTTGTATTCCCACAAATACAGAAATACACTGCTGTGAAGAGAAACTTTTCTTTTTCTGTTCTTTTAATTACTAGAAGAAAGGACAGAGGAAAAGCTTTCTTTATGGTCTCTACAGAATTTTTGCACTGTAATGACTGATGGCTTCTTCCTGATCATTTTGTGCTTGCTTGCAAGACTGAGGGTAGACACAAGAATTTACCTCAGCATCTCTGCAAG